TACAAGTTTGTAAAAATTATTTAAAAAAATTTTTATTAAATTTGGTCAAGTTTTTGTTAAGTTATTCTTGTTTAAAAATTTTATTATAAAAAATTTGCTTGATTTCTATTGACACCCCCATATATCAGGGCAACTTTACCGTGGTAAGTTATTATGGTATGTTCCAAATGCCGACTATAATAGTAGACAATAGAATACGGAGACTTTCGGAATAAAATACAAGTTCTTTACTGGTAATTTAAATTGTCAATATTTATATATATTTATATATATATATAGTTAATATATACACATATATATAATGTGTAATATACAAATATATAATTAATATATAGTTAATCTATAGTTAATATATAGTTAATTTATATATATATAGTTGATATATAATATATATAACTAATACATATATATATATAGTATGCTATATATTTTTGTATAAACAGGCAATTTTATGTACCAACTGCAGTGTACTACGTATGTAAATCAAAACTATGTGTCATATAATAAAATTTATTAACGAAGATTTTTCGATAGGTAATAAATTTTATAATAATTATTAGAAAATTTTAAATAGATGCACAGACCTAACGGCTCGACAGTTTTGGATAAAATTTTGCAAAGACCCCCTACAAACAATATACTGTACTATTTTTTCTTCTTCTTCTTAAAAAAAGTCAAGTAGAAATGCTTAATTTAATTCCTTTTCAAAAGAAGTTCTGTTTGTAGAGACATAATACGTACTGATCTTTGCAAAATTTTATCCAAAACTGTCAAACCGTTAGGTCTGTGCATCTATTTAAAATTTTCTAATAATTATTATAAAAATTATTACCTATCGAAAAATCTTCGTTAATAAATTTTATTTATATGACCACATATAGTTTTGATTTACATAATACACCGCGCATCCCAACGTAACATGTCAAGGTACTTTATTACGTAGTACGTAGGCGATGAAAAAAACAAAATTAGTAAGAGTATTACCGTAAATCGCCGTATGCAAGACCCGGGTCTAGTATGCAGCCGAGAGTTCATGTCACTAAGAGGAAAACTTTGAAGAGTATGCATGTTTTGCATTTATAATAGACATACCAGATATTTGAAAAAAACCATGTTTGATTAATATAGATCTCATGATATGCATCCGGGTATACTACGTGGTGGGTCTACTACGTATCATGGGGGTCTTGTATACGGCGATTTACGGTAATAGATTGATATAATAACATATACAATAACATCAATTGAACTATTTACATAGTGAAAAAAATGAGAGGCAATTTATTTTGTTCTCATTATTCAATAGATAATGTTAAATATAAGTCGATAACGATTATTTCCTTAATAAACAACAATAATATTATACTTTCTGATAAGGAGCGTGCGTATATAGAACCTTCTGATAGAATTTACCCTTTATTTACCTATCTATAGTAATCTCTATTGGTCAATCGCTCCTTAATTAAGGTATCCTCAATCACTGCTTCTACGAGAGTCAATCTCTTCCTTAAATATCGCTCAAGCACTGTTTCTACGACGATTATGTTTGTATTACGTAAATAAAAGGCTAGAAACGATTAATTAAGTTAAATGACCAACTACCAAGGATAATTTGAAACAACGCCTGCCATTGAAAACTATGAGTTCACCCATCAATAGATATATAAGGCATTACGTTGCACAATGAATCTAAGTGATAGTATCTTAGCTGGGTGAAAAAAAGTGGTCGGTTGAGTCACCAAAGTCAAAAGTGTAAAAAACGAAATGACTTTAATTCTACTCTAGTAAAGGTCGAACTTGCAAAATTTATTATAACGGTACGATTTTATTTTTATTTTTTTTTAATTTTAAAAATCATTTTATGTTAACAAATTAATTGACGCGTTCACGTGACCAAAAGTATTTTTCATAGCCAGAATGTTATTATCTATTGTTTTAATTTTTAAAAAAGCAATATACACCATGCACAGATTAAGTTTTGATAGTGGACGCATATTTATTTATACGTATACGTGTTATAGATGAGAAAATTTCAATTATCAAGGATCTATGTATGTATGTATGTATGTATACATTTATTCTTCTATTTTTCTCAGGAGAATTACACTTTATATGTAATAAAAGATTGGTAGGCACTATTTTGGCATAGAAAATATATCACATCATCTAAATCCACGATCTAGTCCATGCAAAAAAAAAATGCTATCACATATCGCATTGTTTCATACCTGTACCTTGGCCTTGGCGTCTTAGGATATATAGACTTGCATACATTTTGTGTGCACAAGACCTCCCAAGTGGGTTTAAAAAATCACAACCAAAAATGACAATGTAACAAATGTAGATCGACGTACGCATGCATGCATTGAAGAGAACATAAAAAAAAAATTTTTTTTTTTTTGTTTTGGCCAAACATTAGAATTATAATATTGTATCTTTTAATAACTTTGTTCAAACGAAGCTCGTGAAAGTATTATCAATGCTATTACTAAAATAATGAATATCAGGTGCCAAACTAAAAATTGAACCTATTTTAATAAGATTTTGAATGAATTTTATTTTATTTTTTTTATAGTTAGGCCATACCAATTTAATTCTTCGTTTAACGTAACCCCTCTCTCTATTTTTAAAATTTATAACTTTTCTTATCTATAGATATACATATTTTATATATGAATATACTGTAAAAATAAATCCGATTCCGAATTCATGTAATTACAGTATCTTGATTTACTAAGTAATTTTTGATATAACACTAACCAATCGAAAGTGTAAATATTGGTAAATTGGCTAGATTTGCAATCTATTGTTTTATTGTTTTATGTATATGCAGTACACTATCAATTTACATTATGTAACCACTATGACGCGAGCTCGTGTGGAGCTAGGGGCACAATAGTTATACTTGTCGTATTACATTTTAATAAAAATATTTATTCGCGTTAGCCCAATTTCTCACATAATACATATGTAACAAAAAAAAAAAAAAAAAAAAAAGAGAATTTCATGCTGTATTAACAAATTAGAAAATTGTATTTCAGCATCTTTTCTGACTATAGTAAAGGTTAGTAAGAGAGATTTACTTCGTCATATCGATCCTTAACTATATGTATCATAACAGAGGTTCTATTTGTTCAAGTTATAATACTGATTATAGATATCACTTAAAAAATAAAGTTTGTAATTAGTCCGAATGGTCCATCACCACAAAATATTAAGTGATGTTGTGAAACATGTGAAACATTGTAAATCATCCAAAAAAATTAAATAATCAAAATTTGTCATCTCAGAACATGAGATCTCTTAAACTCGCATGTAATTGCTTTCGTTTTTTTTAAGGGCCCGTGGTATGTACCTTTATTTTTGAATTGATAATTGAATGGAATTAAAAATAGAAAAATAATTTAATAATTAAATATGATTAATTTGATTAATAAAGGTGAAAAACAATTGTTGATTTTATTGCAAGGTGGATCCAGCATTCAATGTAAAAAAAAAAAGTTATTGAATTTATTCCATTACATTCAAAAAAATTTCAAAAAATTCTACTATATTCATTTCTCTCTAATATCTACTTATTCATAGTACACCCATTCCACGGAACCCTCCAACTCCATTCATGATGCCCGCGATTGATATTAACGACACCGACATTTACATTGTTTGTAACGATGATATTGAGCTTGTAAAATTAATTGTTTCTACTTTACGAGAAAAAGGCACAAGCAAAATTCATCTCCTGGTTTCTGATAGTCAAGCTCAAGTAGGAAAAACCATTAATTCATTTCAATTCATTTCTGGAATTATTCAATCATGCACGCATTTGCTCACCTATTCTTTATTCGAAAATATTTTAAATCATTTTAAATCATTTAAGAGCATTAATGAAAGTTGTGATATTCTCAATGAAACAATAAAAAAGGGCACATGGGAAGAAACTTCGGATTTTGAACACGCTTTGACGAGTGAGTTTTGTTTTCATTTATTTTCTTTCTTTTATCTGACTTAAGATGATATAATTTGTTTAATTTCACTTATTTCTAAAGTATTTCACATTAAATATAATATATACAGTCAATTCTCTCTAAGTGCAAATCCTTAAGTGCAGATTAATAAAGTTCTTTAATGCAGAGACAGATTCAGTTCCAAGTATATAGCATATTATAGATTTACTCCTCTAAATGTAACTTGCTCTGAATGTAAAGTTTCATTCTTTTAATATTGTAGTATATTTTTAAAGTCTTAGCGAGTTGCACTTAGGAGGAGTCGACCGTATATATGTATATATATATGCATTAATTTGTGATTTTTTTTTGCAAATTACCTGGACAACTACATTGGCGCAGTATACTAAATTTTTTTTTTACAATTAAATTTCGTTCTAATGATGATAAACCGTTAAAATCGGTCCAATGGATCGCATTTATATCAAAGAATTATCAAGCAGAATTTAACGATTTATCACCATTAGGAAGTAACGATTATATCTACAATTTTATCATATCCTTTTTTAAAAAAATTACTGCGTCAATATTTGCAATAGTGATTGTCTGGGTGATTTACAAATACGTAATTACATTCTTTTTATGAATGATTATTTTATTTTTGTCATCAACTTTACTTACTAAATAGTATTATTTTTTTTTTTTCATAGATGCCGTTGTTGTCATTAGTATGCTTCATCACGAATTTGAGAAGCAAGAAAAACTTTTTGTCACTTGTCTAAAACAAGGTGTGGTCTTGTTTATTACATGGGATTCGGGAATGGAACTGTGAGTAATTAAATTAAATGTTACAAATGTTGTTATATATACCAAAAGAAAAATCATAAATATACTTGATTTTTTTTATTTTTATTTTTTACTTTTTATTTTTTTTTAGAGATAATTTAATAAGAGATAAAAGATGTCCTCGTACTCGCCTACATCAAAGACTTATTGATTATCAAAGTTATTCTCCTTACCCTTTTGCTGATAAAATGCAGTGGATTTTATTTCAAGTCGGATTATTTAGTGATGAAATTCTAAAATATGATATATCCACTGTAACCACTGCTTTTAACAGTCCAAATCAATTCATTTTTATCAATGTTTCCGTTAAAATTGATTTTGCTAAAATAATTGCTGAATCAATTGTTACTCCAAAAGTAAAACCGAATTGTAATTATGTAGTCGGTGAATTCGTTTCACATACCTTTTTAGGTCACATATATAAAGTTTTTAATCAAGGTATATTTTTTAAAATGAAAGTTTTGCTTCTATAATGTATTCCTATTTTAAATATGCATGTTTTCAATAATGAATTAAAGGAATACCATTTGAGAGAAGTATGCCGGCTGAAATAACTGAATTTGAAACTACAAACCAATTACGTATATCAGGAATAATATCTGCTCGTCCTATTCCAAAAATTTTATATCCTGAATGTGATTCCTATATTCATAAAATAGGAATTGAAATATCTTTTCAACATGGTGCTACTATTTATAAAATTTTAACTAATCATGAACAAGTAACTCTTAGACAATGGTTTTTGAAAAAACTCGTTCATTCAAAAATTAATCAGAAGGATAGTAATAATATTACTATTGAAAATAATAATAGTAATCATATTGCTATCGAAAATGGTAGCCATGCGTGATTTTCTTTTTTTTTTTTTTTTTTTTTTCTAAATAATTACAGTATATATAATAATTATGCAATACTTCAAATTATGATTTTTTTATTATGTTTTGTATTGTGGGATTTCTTCTTTTTTTCTCCTAAGAATTTTAAATAGTTGAAATTTTTTTCAAAATAAAGGAATATGAAAATATTTAAGTAAAGTTTTCAAAGCTAACAATATGTGCGTTGCGTGAATGTTTGTTTTCAAAATAATTTTAGAAGTAATTATACAAATCTCAGAAATATTATTATAAACAAATAATTGTAGGAGTAATTATACAAATCTCAGAAATATTATTCTAAACAAATAATTGTAGGAGTAATTATACAAATCTCAGAAATATTATTCTAAACCTTATGTGTACAAGCGAACTTATATCCAGCAGTTCATTATATGATTATTACCGTTACCAATTTTTGCTAATTCATCAAATAAAAAAAATAACCGAATGATTAAAGTAAACAGGACTTTTTCCTCATGCAAAGACATTTTATGAGATCATCTTCACACAAGATATCCAGGGTACTGCTCAATCTAAAAAATACAAAATTTTTTTAACATTCGCAGTAATTTCTTACTATAAATAATCAGAAAAACAAGTGATTTCGAAATAGTTGAAAATAGCAATTTTTATAAAAATTTTTTTTCAATTTACATAGTAGTGGCCAACGTTTTAAACTAATCAAGTATTCGAGTATTCGCAATTCATCCAAGTCATTAAATTAAATCACTTCTAAATCGGATTAAATAAATACTTAATTCTCGAGATAAGACTATAAAATGCCATGGTTAGCTGTATTATGGTGGATGAAGCGTGACCAAAAAGGGGGCGGGCTGGATGCACATTGAAAATAGGATTAAAAATTGGATTATTTGAAAATCAAGTGAAATAATTAGCAAATCAAGTTCAATATTAAAGTCAGTCTCAATTACCTGTCATCGGGCTTTCAATGTTCAGTTGACTTTCTGAATGCCGTCTACAGATAATCTATCATCTATCATCGGAATAGAAAGCGGTTTACTATTGACAGCACTCCAAGTTACACCAAAAGTTACTAAGGCAAACAGGCCAATTTTAATATTAATTAAACTATGCAAATTTTAGTCAGCAATAAATAGTATAAGTTACACTAGTTAATTTATGTTAGACAAATCAATTTGATATAATCTCCATCCTCCTAAATTTTCAAAAACCATCACACACAATATATAAATATTAAATAACCTCTATTTTCTTAAATCTACCGTAGTACACTCACGATATCTTCTGCTGACAATCGTTTTACCAAGTGAATAACATAGATAATATTAGATAAAATCTAGTGATCCAATATTTTCTGACGTAGAAAATGGATAAACTTAAATTACGAGTAGGTGAGAAATTTTTGAATACAAAATCTGAAAATAATATTAACATAACTGGGCGCACATAAAATTATAAAATTCTATAAATTCTACTCTTAAAACTCTCGATAGTAACCCATACTCAGGTAATGGCTCTAAATAAGAGTCATTACATCAACTTTATGTTAACTTTAACGTTAAAATCTTTGTGATTTTCCATATGACCCTATGACTCGGGTCAATATCGGACCTGCCCGAGCCACTGTTTTATGACCTGGGTAATAGATCTATGTTTTGTCAGTGTATGTACTGTACGTACGTACGTATATACATGCGTACATTCAATGATGCTATTTAATTTGGTATATATTTACTTTTGCTACGTATTGTTTTCTGTGAATTTAACAAATAAAAAAATATTGGAAAAAATCCGAATTCGATTTAACAATTCGAATTAAATTCGAAGCCGAAGATTATTAATTAAATAAATTCGGCATCAAATTCTCCCGCTATCGCTATAGCATATTAGCATAATGAGTATAATGTGTTTATTTGATGTTTTAATACTTACAGGTCATTTCACGTGTCAAACAGAAAATCGGTCTGTGCAATAAAAGGAAATCCTGGTTTTTGTTTCAGTAAAAGGAAATACTTATACGGGTAAATTTGAAAAAAATATAATCCGAGACAAGTTTTTTGCATTATAATAAAAACGTAAGTACGAATAAGCTATTATTTTGACGATCATTAATTGTTCTTTAACGTTGACAATTGGTGTTGATTTTCAGAAGTTTCTTTCGATAAATGTATAAATATAGTCAAGATATTCATTAACATAATTATCGATAGGAAACCAATAATTTTTCAGAAGAAAAAGAATTTTTCAGTGTAATGACGCCATTACACATGGTGCATATAACGTCCACGCATGCTTCAAACAAATTTTTCATATAACGATGAATACTGTTCATATCAAAGTGATTTATGACAATCCAAGCTTTTCTAAAAAAATATCTTATTGTCCCTTATAGAGTAATTTACTATAAAAAAAGGTTCATTATACGCAAAATGATTTGCTATATCCTGTCCAGATTTCTTCAATTGCAGAAATTCTGCAAAATTTTGCATTTACCGAATTCACTGAATTTGCAGAATTTGTGAAATTCATTTATCACACTAATCCGAAAACAGCGATAAATATGTACTTCTATTGGTTCGTTTTTTATTGAGATTTGAATTTGCAGAATTTGAGTAGCTTACTTATTGTTGGCCCGCCTTAAGACAATTAAAAATTCTTGCATATCGATATAGCTACCAAATATGTAATATTATAGTGCCGGCCGGATCAGCTGCAAAAATCTGTGTAGATAAAAAATTGTAGAATTCTGAACAGAGTTGACTACATTAAACTGTCAGGAAATTTTGAAATTATAATCGATAATCATCACCCCTGTTGTTTAAATGTTAATCGATTATAATCAATTATTGCTATGATTAATTTTTTTTATGATTAAGCGATTGCTAAAGCCAGCCAATTTATTCTGAAATTGAGTTTGTGTCAAGCTCAGATTTATGATAAATTTACCGGCTTTAGCAGTCGCGATCGCAATCACAAGCATTTAATCTTATTAATCATAGGGGTCACAAAATTATGCAAACCACAAACTAACATAAATAACTTACGTCATCACAATAGTCGGTAAGTACAGTGGAAATCAAGATAAATCCAACACAAAACTAAAGTAACCTTATCTAAATAACTTACGTCACCACAATAGTCGGCAGGTACATTAACAATTTTTACAGTAAATCATGATTCCACAATACAAAACTAACATATCCCTATCTAAATCACCACAATAGTCAGTAAGTACTGTAGCAGAATTCTTAGAAATCACGATAATCCGATACAAAATTAACATAACTCTATCTGAATCATAGATATCACTAGTAGTGATTGGACCCGGGTGGAAACGGCCGACGGGTAACCTGTGAACAATAATTGCATTTGTATGTACAGTACTATTTTTTTTTTTAAAAAAAAAATTTTCAATAACGGATTTTATATTAGACTAAGGGTGTTCTCAAGCACCCACTCAATGGATCGGAGGTAATTTTTTAAATGTTACCATTTCACTGAGATACAAATCATTCAAAAATTTAAAAGGACGCTCAATAATTACTTTTGCATTTTTTACATATCAAGCATAATAAACAATGAATTCTTAGTAAATTTCTACCTGATCCAAAAAAAATTACTATTTTATTTTTAATGCTAAAAATATATTTGTATATGTTGTGCCTCAGACTAACGCTTGCCTCAGATCACAGCTGACGCACCGATCGTACCTAGTATCACTACCAAAATCATGTACGTAATCGGTTGTTAAATTTCAATCCAAGCATAATAATAACAAAATCACGATATTTTCGAATTTATTATTATTATTATTATTATTATTAAAATTATTTATTAGAATTTACTTAATTACCACTGCAAATTCTAAGTCGAATTACTTTCAATTCAAATATTTAAATGCATTTACATTTAATTCAAAAAATTTTTTTAATACACGTATAAACTTTAAATGCTGCCAGTAAAATGTGATTTTGTTACGACCGCTCCAAGTTTTTGGAAGCTTTTTGCTCGTTCAAAATCTTTAATGTCATCCACCATTTTTTGGATACGTTTAAAGTTCGATTCAATGCTTCGAAACCATTTTTTTTGTTTGGGAAGATTATTAGACTTTTCAAGACAATCGAGCGCCTAAAACATAAAATATATTTATATAAACATGAAAATATAGTAATAATAAAAAAAAAACTTAATGATTGATCTTGTGAATCCGAAAGTGAAAACATATATAATGAGGAATCGAGTACTGAAATTTTAAATTATCTTGTGCATCATTAATTAAAGTTGGTCAAATATTTTCTCTTAGCTTCCGAAATAAAAGGATACTGAGAATTTCGTTGCATCTAAATTAAAATAAGATTAAATTTGAAAATTTTTTTTTTAATAAAAAAAATAATATAATAACAGACCTTTCGAAAAATGATGCATCCATTTTCACAAGAGGATTAACAAGGTATTTGCATAATAAAAATCTGGTTTTTTTTCATCCTTCTTTCAAGTTCACAGCGACAGTTACACCAATAGGTAAATGAAGTAGTCTTGATTTGTTTATTATCGTATTTTTTATGGTATAACCATCTCCTTTTTCGACGATCTCAAGTGTTAATGAACTTGCAAAAACTTCTTCGGTGTCATTTACTTCCAATTCATTAATTGATCGAGAAGTATCCATAGCTATCTCAAGATTCATATGTATATTGCTTTCTTCTTAACATCCATAAGCTTTTTATAAACTATAAACTATATATTTAATCTCTTCGGATTTTACAGCATTTTCTTTTTGCTTGCAAATATCACTTAAAATTTGATCTTCACGTTTTCTTTTCGGCTTTCATTTATACAGTTTGAACACTCAAAACAGCAATAATGGGTTTTATAGTTCGAAAAAATGAACAAAGTTTTAAACTTTCCATTTTACGATATTCAAAAAAAAAAAATTCAACATAAATAGTCATTCTTATTATTACGTATATTATTATTATTATTAATCAAATGTCGTATCAATTATTAAATTTAATAAATTTAAAACTGATATTACGTACGTACATGATTTTGGTGGCGATACTAGGTGGATCATCGTCAGGTGAGGTACATAAAACTACGTATTGATCTAGCAATCTGACGAAAGTAAGAGAGTAAAATAAATTAAATAAAAGACTTTTGATTTGGACGCTTTTTTTATTCTTGCTTTCTTGAATCTCTTCGGCGTTTTTCTTACTGGTAGCATCCAGCAACTCTATTTTTTTCTTTAAATTTCTTTGACTGAATTTTCGTGGCATATTCTATTTCCAATTAATATGCACTTTTTTTTCTATACGTATCGTTTTGTTTTTTTTTTTACCTAAATTTTCTCTGCTTACTCTTCCTGCTTAAGTCTTCTCGGCACGTTCTATTTCAATAATACATTTTATTCTATACATATTTTTTTTCTGTGAGTAATGACTGAGGCACAACATATATACAGGTATGCATAATAACAAGGGACGTCTATTTTCGTCCACCCGATAGGTTTCTTTTTTAACCCACCCGGGGTGGCTCATGGGTCCACCCACGGGTGACCCGGGTGGCATTTTTTTTTGACGGGTCCAATCACTTGTCACCACAATTGTCTATAAGTGCGGTAACCAAATTTTTATGTTTTTTGAAGTGCCTGCTATAAATGAAGGAACATATGTGATTGAGGTTATATCTCCTTTAGTAAATAAGTGTTTTAAGAAAGGACTTTGTATTTGTTTGCAAAGTTATAAATTGGATGGTTTTCGAACTGAACTTGAATAATTTCGAGCTACATCTGACTGAGGAGTCCCAATAAGGACGAAATCAATCTTAGACTGCGCATTATAAACCCTAACCCTAAGCGAATATTGCGATGAACGACTTGTCTATAGATATGGGGTATATGGAGATAAGGCAAGTTTAGCAAGTGCGATACAGAAGAAATCTCGTCAACACCACGACGACCCAATTACACACAGATAAAGGAAAAATGATCTCGACATCAGAGATCAACCTCCTCTGATTATAAACAATTGACGGACCATAAAAAATTAAATTGATTTGCAGAGGATTCTATTGATGCGACAAGAATTTCTAAAAATTCGAGAGCATTCAGAAGTTTGACGATGAAACGCATGCTATCAATATTTACAATTAATGTAGCAGGTAATCCAAAATTTCATTACATACATAAAGAAGCAACTATATATAAAAATTGCTTGCTCAGAAAACTCAAAATTCCATTATGTATTTTAACCGCAGAATCAGAGGATGTCTAGAACTAATTGGTGACAAAATCCACGAAAGCGATGTTTTAAACTATTGTGTGAGAAAGTTAACTTTTATGATGGTGTCATGGTGAGAACATGTATGCAGTGTATTTAGTTAGAAAGATCAATTTGGATTTCTAAATTAGATATGTTAGTGAAATAATATTAAAAAAAAAAAAAGTACTGTTCTATCGAACAGCTGGAGTTTTTCTTTGATGCATGTGTTACACATAATCGGTGTAGGACCCCATGTGTCATGAGAAACAAAACATTTTTATATCACTTAACTTTAACAGATGAATAATGCAACATGCATGCATACTAGCAGGTTCTTAGAAACGTCCTATTTCACAATAAGGTTGTTACGACTATATAAAGAACGACGTATACGTACAGCACATCGATCATTTTTACTAGTAATCACGTTACTAATTTTTTTACAATAACATTTAATTGAAATCAGGTGATGATCATATGATATTTATATTGTGTAACCTAGGCAAATTTTGATCAACCTAGGAAGAATTAATGATATATACAAGTATGTTTTTTTAAATAATACAGGAGTTCAAATTATTATAATTAGAATTAGAAGGGTCTAATCTATCTACTCTAAAACTTTTATGAAAATCAGGTACATTTTTAAAAACTTTTATATGTAACATGTGTTCGATTTTTGTATAATATTTTTTTGGTTGATCTACTTATATAAAAAATAATTTATGTTTATCCTACTCTTAATCCTGCATTAAAAAATGATAATAGTAAAGTGCACTAAATGCATTCCAACACAGGTTTGTCATCTTTTTTTCTTGTTGATTCAAGCTTTCAGGTACTCATAATGTATAAGAGCGTAGTGTAGATAAACAACAATGTCTTTACTTTTCTCACCCAACTTTCAAGTCGTTCACAATCTCTTGCATTTTTAATTAATGATGTCAAGATTCTTACCTCTCATTCCTTCCACTCTTTGCTTTATGGCTTCAAGTATATTTTGTCAGTTTTACTTGTTTATTCAAAATCCAATGATGATTCTTGATTTATACAATATACAACACTGATCAACACATTTACAAGCCAATTGCAATATTCCAAATCACAATTAATAGCGACTTAAAATCTTCTTAATCTTCTACACGATATAAAGTTCAACGAGTAAGACCAATTCTTACCAGATTTGGGTAAGATTAAAGGTTGTATCCAATGACCTGTTATAGTTTAGGGTTTGGACAGCAATCGAAATAAAAAAAGTTTATATTAAAAAATTGATAATAGCATACTCTAATTGTAAAATTTTAGCTAAATACGTAATAGAAAGATTTTTAAAATTGCTTGTTTTGGCTGATTTCTATACATCTAACTCTCAAAAGCTTGAAGTCAAAAATATTTACCTAAAATAAAGGAAAGTGAAGTAAAAACGCAATAAAAAAGGCATTTATAAGTATTATTAATCTAATAATCTTAATATGTGTATTATAGGAAATGCCATGTTCATCCAAAGTAAAGTTTTTAATAAAAAGCTTTTATACTTA